AGAGGAAGAAAAAGAGGGAGAGGGGCCGATATGAGTCTCAAGAAAGAATAAATGAGGATTGAACAGCAAAACCCAATAAAAGGATTGAGATTTTTAGTTAATGGATCCAATTTTGTATTACTAAAGTCTTTTTGAGAGCAGAACTTCTGAGTACTTTGCCATTGCATTCTTCCAAGACTTTTTTTTCCCCAAACTTTTCAGTATATTTTCTTTGCTGAGATTTTCTGGATGGGAGATTTTTCCTCCCATTTGGAGATTCCCATTGGGATGGGAGATTTTTCCTCCCATCCCATACGGTTCATGCTAAGATCCTGTCTTCCTCCCTCCTGGCAAGCAGGTACCTTTCTCAGGTTCCTCTAGAGCCTCATTGAAAAGTCCAGCCTTCTGAGGCTGAGCTGATTTTGAGAGTTGCTTCTATGAATGGGAGGTTTTTGCCTGGCTTCAGATTCACTTCCTCTCACTGTGTCTCTTGCACAGTAATAGAGTCCTGTGTCCTCTGGCTTGAGGTTGTTCATTTGCAGATACAGCTGGCTTTTGGCATTGTCCCTGGAGATGGTGAAGCGTTCCTTGACCTTGTCTGAGTAGTAAATAGTGCTGGAATCATAGCTTATGTATGCCACCCATTCCAGTCCTTTCCCTGGATACTGCCTCACCCAGGTCATGTAATAGCTGCTGAAGGTGAATCCAGAGGCTTGGCAGGAGAGACGGAGGGACCCTCCAGGTCTTCTCACGTCCCCTCCAGACTCCACCAATTGGACCTCAGATTGGACTCCTAAAAACAAAGATTTTTTTTAATGAGATCTCATGCACAGAAGTTCAGAAAAGAGAAAAGAAACTCTATATAGAGGAAAGGATTACCTCTGAGGACTGCTAGTAAGAACACCAAATTTAACCACAGGATCATTTTTGCTCCCTCTGATGAATGGACTTGAGAAGACAGGATTTGGGAAACTGCTCAAACTGTGTGCTGGTGGGTGTAGCCTGAAAAGGGAAACCATGGGGCTCCTTTAAAGAGGAAATTGTGCCTTGATTTACATATCACTTGGGA